GTTTTTACACTTCTAAGCAGTGTAGCTATGTTGACCTAAATTTTAAGTGTAGACCAGGTCTAGGATGGATGTAGGTCTCTTGTGCATCTCTATCTCTCTGGAAACAATCTCAGACCATTGCTACAAATGGTGATAGTCACTTCATTTATTTCAGTAATTGCTTCGAAGTTAGATTCCAACATGTGTAGCCATTTGCTGCTGTCCTTTGCTTCTAGCCTCATTAATGCTTTTCCCTGTTCTTTTTGCTCTCCACATCCAATTTGTCACCACAGCTATGGCATGATTTGTCTGCTCTGAAATCTACTTTTACTCCCATCTTGTTTGTTCTTATTTCACATGATTAAAAATCCTCTCAGCTTTTGCATCTTTCATGCAAGGAGGTTGTTATGGATAACAGATTCTACTTATGCAGACAGAGCTTCATGTAACTGCTTATTTCCCTATTCTACCAGACAGAGATGTAACTGTCTTTAAGCCTTTCTTTATTCCTCCATCTATAAATGGGATCCGTTTGATCCTTAGATTGCTATTGTGACTAATTTACAATTTGCCCTTCTGGGTGTAAGTTATCCCCATAATAACTGTTGGCATATATCAGTTGGTGCTAATGTTAATTGTTCTCTTCTTGTGCTGGTACATTGGAAAGTATGGTATCCACAAGAAATTGTGGGAAATACCATCATCTGTAGTAATAAAAATGCAGTTTGGGATATGGAAGAGGTTCAAGCCTGTAACAGCAGCATGGCCTAGCCATCAGAGCATGGAACTGGGAGTCAGTAGGTCTGAACTGTGTTGCTAGCTCTGATAATGACTGAATAGGCAAATTACTAAATTTTAATGCATCAATTATCCCAACTGTTAAGCCAGGATAATACTGCCTGTTCACCTTAATAAGACTTTGAGGTCTATGGTTGGCAAGCATTATATAAATGCTATGTATTGTTATCATTCTAACACATTCACTAGCCTTACAGCATTTAGCATCAAGTGATGTGACCGACCCTCCTACTTCCAGCCGAGCTCCCCTGAGAATTTAACTAGCTGTTTCATATGACATTTATCAACAAAGCAGCATTTGATTTGGTGAAGGGGCAATATTTTGCTCACATTGCAAGTGCAGCTTAAGAATCATCCTGCAGATATTAATCTTTGTCAATTTCTCTCATGGTTTTTTTTATTTTATTTTTTTGCCCTTTGAGGACATCTGTACTTCTGATGGTAAGACTTTTCAGAAGTGGGTTGAAAATAAACTGGAATCATTTAGAGATATTATGCTAACAAATCTTAACAAGATCTCGCCTTAAGGGTGCCTTTCAATATTTTTAAACATTCTTTAATCATTGAGATTACAGTATGGGAATTGATTCATTGTATAAAAATAATAGAAACCCAACTAAAGCAATGGAAATAGACCTAAAATGCTGGAAGCATAAAATGTTGTCCCCAGTTGAAAGAATGAATTTGATTAAAATGGCTAACTCGCCAAAGCTCTTGGCCTCTCTAGATAAAGAATTACATTTTTACTTTTTGGCAGCACAACCACAATTTTTAATGAAAGACATGATTGCAGTATAGAGCTAATTGGATGGAAATGTTGGGCCAGATACTTGGCCTTGGTTAAGTCACCTTTGTGTCCAGAAGACTGGAAAAGGACAAATATAGTGCCCACCTATAAAAAGGGAAATAAGAACAACCCAGAAAACTACAGACCAGTCAGTTTAACTCCTGTGCCAGGGATGATAATGAAGCAAATAATTAAGGAATTGATCTGCAAACATCTGGAAGATAATAAGATAATAGGTAACAGCCACAACATTCTCCAAAAACTTCCTGGATTGTCTGTGTACTGCTGCATGGGTCTCCCAACAGACGTCAGGGTGATTAAAGTCCCGCATAAGAACCAGGGCCTATGATCTGGAAGCTTCTCTCAGCTGTCTAAAGAAAGCCTTGTCCATCTTATCCACCGGTCTATAGTACATACCAACCAGAACATCACCCCTGTTTCTTCCATCTCTAAACTTAACCCATAGACTCTCAACAGGCTTTTCTCCCTCTATATACTAGAGCTCTGAGCAATCATATTGCTCTCTTACATACAGTGCAACTCCTCCTCCTTTTCTCCCCCACCTATTCATCCTGAACAGTTTATACCCTTTCATGACAGTGTTCCAGTCCTGCGAGTCATCCCACCAAGTCTCCAGTATTCCAATTAAATTATAGTTCTTTGACTGGGTCAGGGCTTCTAATTCTTCCTGTTTTGTTTCCCAGGCTTTTAGCATTCGTGTACAAACATCTTAGATAACCAGTTGATTGCCCTACCTTTTCCATTCAAATCAGGAGTCTTCCTTTGTTGCTCATTCCTCCTTGTGTTTCTTCCTGGTATCCGATTTCCCCACTTACCTCAGGGCTTTGGTCACCATCCCCCAATGAACTTAGTTTAAATCCCTCCTCACTAGGTTTGCAAGATATTTAAGTGCAGGTTGGATAGACATCTATCACGGATGATATAGACCCGTGGTCCCCAACACAGTGCCCGCGGGCACCATGGCACCCGCGGGGGCATTTGTGTGCGCCCGCCAAGTGCTCGGGGCTGGCCTGGCCCCAGGCACATGGCGCATGCGCGGTGCCGGAGCCGGCCCCGGGCACATGGCGCACAGTGAGCGCCGGCCCCGGGAGCTCTGGGCACGCGGCGCTTGGAGGAGGCGCCGGCCCCGGGCGCGCAGCACTTGGGGGGGAGCTCCGGCCCCGGAGAGAGAGCCAGCCCCGGGCGTGCGGTGCTTGGAGGGGGCACCGGCCCCGGGCGCATGGCTATGGGGGGGCCGCCCCGGGCGTGCAAGTGTCCCCGCCCCCTGGCGCCTGGTGGGCGAACAGCCACGCCCCCTGGTGCCCGGTGGGTGAACGGCCACACCCCCTGGCGCCCAGCAACCTCTAATGGTTGGGGACCACTGATATAGACCATGCTTGGTCCTGCCATGAGTGCAGGGGACTGGACTTCATGATCTCTCGAGGTCCCTTCCAGTTCTAGAACTCTAGGAGTCTATGATTCTATGCACCACTCCAGTAGCTCAAAAGGGACACCAGGTAGCTGAGGATTCCCATTCCCACCCCCAAACACTCAAAAAATGAGGTTTACAGGATCTTTTGAAAAAGCGCCCCATTTTCGAAAGAACCGTGTCTAGACTACGGTTTCAATTTTGAAACAGCCCTTTTTCGAAAGAGCGCCATTATGTGATTATGCAAATGAAGCACGGGATATTTAAATCCTGGCTTCATTTGCACTTTTGAGGTGCTTCATTTACATCCCTCTGCAGACAGAGGGATGTAGTGTAGACATAGCCACACAGGGCAATTTTCTGCAGACATGAGGTTTTATAGCACCCATTTCCTTCCCTGGCACAAGGTGGTAAAGAGTGCATGTTCAGAATGGAGCTGGAATCCTCTTCCTTGCTAAGCCCCACCCCAGTAGCTGCAACCTGGCTCGTTAGCAGCAATAGCAAGGCTGTCCATGAGCTACAGTTCATTGCTTGGCAGAACTTGCTCACCAGACCTGAATCTGGGAGTGCAGATCCCTATAGGTCTGTGGAGCTCAATGTACTCCTACAAATGTGAGTTTGTGCAGCTGCTCTAACTTGTGTGGGGAACCTATTTGGCTTCTGGCTAACCCCTGAATTGGGGGAGGTGTAAAGAGTGCTTCAAGTCACCTTTGCCTTCCTCCCTCTCCCCTCAGCTGTGATCTCAGCACCGTCAAAGACATGGCCCAGAATCTCCAAGGAGGATTTATATTTGTAAACAACTAGTGAGCGCATGAAATCAAAATACTTAACTGCCATCTGGAACAAAAAGCTTCCCACCAGTCTGATGGTACTTGTGATGGCACCATCTTTTTGTAGCAGATGCCCAGCCTTTTGCCAAAGGTGTCTGATACCTTGGGGCAATTTCAGATCACAAAGTCCTCTGTGATTATTGCATAGCATCAGCAGTTCATTCTGTTTTTATTAACCGTGGGTTACACTCAGTCCTCAGTGTAGATCTTGGCACAGCTAATCATCTCTGAGTCACTTCCACATTGGAATCTTTTGTTATTCTCTTCCAGGTGACTACACCAGGGCTGAAGACAACTCAAAAGCTTTGTTATTTCCATTGTTATTGAAATATTGCCTGAAAGACTGGATCTGGGTCCTGGGCTAACGTGCTAGGAGCTATACAAACACAAGGCATGGCCCCTGACCTGATGAACTTGCCGATGCAGAAAGTCTAAAGGTAGTGGATCTATAGGTACATAACAAAGACATTCTGTGAACTACACCAGCTTCCAGTCAGTTTCCAAGTGCAATTCAGGATCTTAATTTGGATCTGCAAAGACCTGTACATAAATTGGCCCTTCACTTGTTGTCCCAGCCATAATCTATAGAGGAAAGAGGAATGTCTAAAAAAGGAAAACTGAAAAACACTAGTCAAACTTTTCTGAATCTCAAAACAAGTTTTCATTGAATCCTGGGCACGGACTTGCAGTGGTGGATGGATGAGGGGTTGTTTTTGCTTTCAGCACACCTAGTGTGTACCCATAATACACAATGCTGGACAACACAGAGGGCAGTGTACTTTCCCTCAGAATCCCTGATGTTAATTTTTCACTAGATGGACATAGATCCTTTTTGCATCAGCGACCAATACAGATGTTTGGCTCAAAGCTGCATGCTTGTGCCAGAGTGAAAAGAGGATTAATACTTGATAAAACCCTTCACTTTGAACAGATAAAATATGAGAATGACCAAAGTGAAGTAGTGAAGAATTAAATGGAAAGAGGCCACAAAAATGTTAATTACACCATTGACTAACACTTCCAACTGCAATTTACATATTCATAATGCAAGACTAACATCTTAAAAGTAACCTCTATCACCTGGCCAAGGACCTACTGTCAATCATGCATCACAATCAAAGACATAAAAGGCAGTGATGTAACAATGAGCTTAGAAAAACTCTCCACTGAGTTCTATCCAGTATGCACTTTCAGTCATGTAAAGCACTGTTCATTGTCATGCATATTCTGTTATGGGTTTTTAAGGAGAGGAAAGACATGATTTAGGACATAACACCCGGCAAGTATACTAGGTAAGCATAAGCATTCTGCACAGGAGACAATTTAGCTTAGTCTTGTTTTACTGCTTGCTTCTCTCAGGGAAAACTGGCAGAAAATCCATCGGTGCAGTGGTGCAAGGCAGCCACAACTTGCATTACACTCAGATAAGCAAAGCAGGCTAGTGCAGCCTGAAGCTGGAGAAAAGGTGGCGCAAAGTCATTTAACACATCCTTGCTGTAATCTCCATTGGTGAAGCTCTTCCGGAACCCCTGGCAGACACTAAAGCTGTTATCTCTCTCAGAGAACCCCAGGGGGAGCAGTAACGGCACTTCATACCCTCCCCACTTCATACCCTCCACGCACAGGAGTGAATCCAGCCTTGCTAGTGAAGGGAGGTGAAGCAATTTACATCACCCTGGGCCAGTCCCCCTAGTGCAGAAATCCAGTAGAATGTAATGGAGAACTGTAAGATTCCTACCGATTTGTTAAAGTAACCTCTAGAACAGTGGTCCCCAACCATTAGAGGTTGCCGGGCGCCAGGGGGCGTGGCCGTTCACCTGCCGGGCACCAGGGGACGGGAACACTCGTGCACCCGGGGGCGGGGCCGCGCATATGCCACACCCCCATGAGCCACGTTCCTGGGGCCAGGAACCCTATGCGCCATGTGGCCGCCCATTTGCAGCAAGCCTGGGGCCAGCATCCTGCAGAGCCATGCGCCCAGGACCAGCAACCCCCATAGCCACGCGCCCAAAGCCGGCACCTCCCCCCCCCCCAAACGCCGTGCCCGGGGGCAGGGATGCCACTTTGCTGCGCTCCCAGGGTCAGCGCCCCCCACAGCCGTTCACCCGGGGGCCGGGGGGCACCGTGCATGCGCCACGTGCCCGGGGCCAGGCCAGCCCCGAGCACTTGGTGGGCGCACACAAATGCCTCCGCGGGCGCCATGGCTCTAGAATGTCATCCTAGGGCTCTGATTCTCAATTCACTTCTCTAGGGTGGTTTCAAAATGGTACAGAAGGGATCTAGTATAATCTGAACTTTTTTAGAATTATGTCCCTAAAGCCCAGTTACAGTTTATACAGCCCAACTGGTTTCACCCATTTTCTTCCATAAAGGTGAAGGGTGAGAATCTGGCCCAGTGACCTTGACTAAGGTAGAGCGGAGGTACAGAGCAAAGACCGCCCATTGTTCAAAGCAGTTTTATAGAAGTTATACTTTGTATTCAAACAGTACTACTCGGATTGAACTGTCATTAAAACAAGTGATTAAGCAAGGAACCAGCCCCCCTTCTACTGTGCATGAAGCCATTGAAAAACTAAACTTTATTAGTTCATCTCAGACACCGTGCATAACTGTAAATTAGCACTACTCTAGACTCCTAGCTGATGGCAGAGTAAATTTGCATAGGCACACTGCCATATTCAAATATGCTATTGGATGGCAAGGATAATATCACAAATGTATCGTTAACTTGTGGGCTCACATTGCAGGCATTTGCTAACTTTGCGGAAGGGCATGCATGCGTTAATGTCAGTGCTCTCTATAAAATGTTCATCTTGTAGCATTGTAGTTTTGCCTCTAAAGCCTGTTATAAAATATAGCCCCTTGGGCAGAGGTTGGAGCACTGCCACTTGACTGCCAGTGCTATAAATTAAAGGACTGCTTCAATCAGGTGTCATCCATTGGAGTTTACAAACCCAGCAGAATGGGTAGGAAATGCTGACATATGTGAGAAGAAGTATCTGCCCAATGACTTTGCCTACATCCTGAGCCTAATTAATTCTGCTGAACTCTTAAGAGTATTTTCATTTGCATTAAATTTAAATTAAGCTGAGCTATGAATGCTGAGCTTGGCAAAGCCTGGAAAAGAAAAGCATGTGGGGAAGAGAGTAATTCTTTTATCTCTGCTAGAGCTTAGTACTTTAATGACAGAAATGTAACCCTACTAGTTTACAGGTACTATAATTCCCACAAGTGTTAAGAATTTTGTTACAGCCCAAAGCAGAGAATCATTTCATTTGAAGCCACAATCACCCAACCCAGTACACAAAAGTCCAAATCCTAATTGGTAGAAGTAGTAAAATACGTTGCCTACAGAAGCCAGAACAAATTCTAGAATGGCAGCAGTGACGCATCCTGCTGTACAGCACAAGAAATAATAGCTAGCTGAAGATATCTACTAGCACCCATCATTTCATCCACATCAGAGAAACCAATACACATTCGGGGGGGAAGTTGCCTACTGGTGTGCTTGTTTCTGCCTTTCAAAAACAAAACAATAGAACCTACACCTTTGCCCGAAGCTCAGGTCTTTTTGGAGACAAATGAAACATCACAATCTAGCCATTTTAACCTAGTTTGTATATTTATAGACCACCACAAATCAGTGTGACAGAGTTAATTGAAAATAGAGTTCCTACTGTAGGTGTCACCTTCAGTGTTCCCTGTAAGCTGAGCTCTTGGGCAGCCACCCAAGAAAGGGTCAAATGCTGCCCACCTGATTAGCAGCATGCTCACAGCCAATAGCATGTGTTTCTACTGGTAGTGCACAGCTGAACATGCCTCAATGCACATAATAAAATACATTCCACGCATGTATGGAAAAAATGTAGAGGGAACATTGGTCACCTT